GTGGGGGAGAGGGCGGGGGGCCGGAGTAGGTTTTGGGGAGAGAGCCGCCATGTTTGTGCGGGGCAGGGGGAGGGTCTTAACCCTTTCGAGGCCCAGGGGACGAGGCCGCGTCCCCGCCCACTGCCATCTCCATCCGGCCTCCAAAGCATCAATGAAACGGTCAGGAGGCGAGGCAGTTCTGAGATTTGTTTTATATGGAAGAAAGGGAACTGGAGAAAGCGGTCTTCTCTGCTAAAAAGGCGTCTCTCGGGGAGGGGCATGAGAGCAGGGGAAGCGGTGGACGAGAATTTTCCTCAGCGCCGGTCTTCCCGTAACGCTCCACTCGTTCCCCTCGCAGCCCTCTGCGCCGTGCCTTCTCTCCTCGCCCGGCTCATCTCTACTGCACCCTATCCTTGAATGACACAGCCTGAAATGTCTACGTATTGGGCTGTGCCTCCGTTTCGCCGCCTCGCTCTCCGGGTCTCTAGGCGCTTGAATGGCTGTTCCACTGCTTGCCCTCTCTTCTCGCCCCCGCCTCCCGCACGCCCTTTAGGTGGAGGCTGTTTCCCCATCTGTTCCTACTAACTAGGGGGGCGGCTGAATCTAGGCGCTGAGGTAGTGAGAGCTGGGAGTCAGGCAGTGGGGACCAAGCTTTGCAGGACGTCCCCAGGGCTATGCGCCCCACTGGACAGTCGGCCCCCACCACCCCGTAGATTCCTACGGTTTTCCCAGTCCGGCTTCCAGGGTGCGCACCCTCTGGTGGCCACTTTGAGGAATATGTTCCTGGAAGCCCGCAGGGTCCCGAAAAACGGGCTTGGGAGAGGAGAGTATGAAGACGGGACCTTATGACCTCCTCTGGGTCTGCCTGTACGGGCATCCTCCCCAGTTTAGGAGGAAGCGATGCTTAGATGAGTAAACACAGAAACTGCCCAGGTCCTTGTGTCTTAATAAAGAGAAAGAATGTCTTGTCATCAGGTCTGGGTCTCTTCAGTGTCCATGAGGGAGGTAGGACTGTTGTGGCATCTGAGTTGAGGCAGGAGTTTCCAAGTCTGAGGCTTTATACTGGGCAAACTCTAGATCCTGGGCTGGCTCTGAATCCTCAGGGTGGTGCACAGCCACCAGAAGTTGGTATGTGGCTGTGCCAAGGGTTGCCCCCACCATAGGAGCCACCACAGGCACCCACCACCAGCCATTACCAGCGCTGCAAGAAAAGGACAGAAGGGAGATATCATGGGTGACTGCCCTAGTCCTCCCCCAAAAGGACTGGAGGCAGTAACAAGAAAACTCCTTTAAGCAGTTCCTAGGGTGATGGACACCAGGAAAAGGGTGTCTTGGCATCAAAGCATAACATTTAGAGAGAAGGAGTCCCCAGGAGAGCTTAGTCCAGCCTCTTGCCTTAGGTATTATCTGAATATACCTGTTTTGCTAATGAGGTCACTAATGCCCAAAGAGGTAATATGGATCCCAGAACACAACCTCTAAACCTCACTTTTTCAGTGAAAAGGGTTAAGGGGGAAGGGCCAGAAAGAAAGGGAAAACTGAGACTTAGAGGGGGGACACTGTTAAGAGGCCAAGATAACTATTTAAGAGGAGAAATATTTAAGCAGGGAACCCAGGGTCAGAGTGTTTAGCCGAGGGAGATGATTGGAAAGACAGCACCAGGGGAGGCCATATCGCACCTGAAGACTTCAGGGCCCCAGCCAGCCAGGTAGGTGAAAAGCCGTGGGCCCAGGTCCCGGGCAGGGTTGAGTGGGTATCCACAGTTGGCACCCATGGATAGCCCGATGGCCAGGATCAGTAGCCCCACTGCCACGGGCTCCAGACCTGCAGGCACTCCCTTATTCCGTGTGTCCAGGATGGCCAAGATCCCCACAATCAGGACCCCAGTGCCCAGAACCTTAGAGTAGACAGATACAAAAGGGTTCCCATCAGCTGCCAGATACTCCATCTGCCCTCTCTTCCCCAAACAGTCTAGGCCACCACCCTATGTCATCTGACTTTGTCTAATACAGGCAGCTGTGGGGGGTGAGGGGGGGGGCGGCAAAGATAGACCTAACCCCACATCCCATCCGACCCAGAGACTTAACAATAGGTTAGGGTCCCAGAGGGCAGAGGCAAAGGCCAGAGCTCTCCCAGGTCTTCCCCTCACACCTACCTGGTCCAGGAAGCCATTATTCAGGGACAGATAGGGAGCAGGGTAGGTGGCAAAGATGGAAGCTGTCTCCTTGGGGCCAGTCACAGTCAGGTTCCCATCTGTGTAGTTCTGTAGGGCATCTGCAGGGGAAGGGAATACCCAGGATTTCCATCTTTCTCATTCAAAAACGTTCCAAGGAACCCCTGCCCACACACAGATGCCCCAATGTTGTTCCCTCTGTTACCATAGTAGAGAGCATAAGTGGTTCCAGAGGCACAAAAAGCAGACAGTATCTGCACCAAGCAGTAAATTGGGAGCTTGGCCCAGGGGAGGCGTCCCAGGAGGCACATTGCCAGGGAGAAGGCTGGATTCAGGTGAGCCCCTTCAAGGATCAAGAAAAAAAAAACAATATCCATTAAGTGTCACTGCCAGGCACTAACCAGGTAACATTGCTACTCCTCCCCACAACTCTTTTTTTTTAATTCTTATCTGAAGATATTTTTTCCATTGCTTTCAGAGAGAGTTGAAGGCAGAGAGAGAGAGAGAGAGAGAGAGACATGGATGTGAAAGAGACACATCAACTGGTTGCTTCCTGCATGCCCCGGGTGGGCCTGCAACCGAGGTACATGCCCTTGGCCGGAATCAAACCTGGGACCCTTCAGTCCATGGGCTGACGCTCTAACCACTGAGCAAAACCGGCCAAGGTAGATGTTAATTCTATAAGGTAGATGTTACCATTCCCATCATATAAATTAGGAAATTGAGGCTCAAGACTAAACAACTTGTCAAGGTCACACAGTGAAGCCAAGGTTTGAACCTGGGGCTGTGCTCTTTCCCCTACAGTGCTTGTGTCTCAAGGCTCCAGTCAAGCACAGTGATGCTGTGTGTTTCTGGGGAATAGCAGGTGAGGTCTGGAGCAAAGGTGAACCCCAGAAGGCTTCAGGTGGAGGACACAAGAGGGTAGCACTTACCCTTAATACCTTGCCACAGATCTCTAAGTGAGCAGAGGATTAATGTGAGGAAGGGAGATGGAGAGATACAAAAAGGGGAAGGGCTGGACTGGGCTAAAGGCATATCTCAGTCCAGGGCACTGATCAAGTTCAAGAAGATAATGTCCATGAGTCACCTTTCACCATAACCACACACCCACACTCATGTGCATATCCTACCATGTTTAATGAACAGACCCCCTCCCTCCTTACCTGAGACATTACCACCCACGTAGATGGCTACCACAACAGCCAAAGAGCCAGCTAGAAACATGGTGAAGAAGTTGCCTTTGGTTTCTCCACTGGTGACAGCCTGGGCCACAGCCCCTTGGGTGATCAGCTGGTGGGGAGAGGAGAGATGAGGAGCAGGGAACCAGGAATAGGGAGCCTGGTGGGCCTACAGGGGAGACAGACTGGGAAGGTGAGGGGAGAAGCCAAGAGAGGTGCACAATGAACAAATGCGAGGGATCGGCAAGGAAGGAAGAAAAGCAGAGAGAGGGAAGGGAAAATAAATGAGAGAAGTGAAAAAAAATTAAAGAAAGGGAAGGGGGTGAAAGATGAAAAGGGACAGTAATAAAAATCAGTAAGTAGAAGAATACAAGAGAAAAGAGGAGGGCGGAAAAGATGGACAGTTGAAAGGAAGCAGGACACCAGGAGAAAGATAAGAACACCGGGGGGGCACCAAAAGCTTTTGCCCACCTCCCATTACCTTCCCCCAATTACCCTGCCTACCATGAGCACAAACACAGCCAGAAACTCTGCCAGGCACTGTCGGGCTAGGAGGCTGCGGATCTGGATCCAGCCCTTGACTTCTGCCAGAAGCTGAATATAAGCCATGGTGAGGACACCCTGTCTCTGGTCACGGCTCCCTCTGTCTGCACAAGCACACTGCTACTTCACAGATATGCCTGCCAGGGGCAAAGATAAGGAAAAGACTTTAAAACCAATTACCTCAGCTCTGGACTGGCAGCTAGTACTTATGCATATGTATATGGAAAATAGAGATAACAGGAGAATGTCCCTGTGGGTAAGCTCTGTGCACCACCAGAGCCTGGAGTTTGCCCAGTCTTCTTTGTCTTTCATCCCCTTTCCTCCCAGGAGTAGCCTCTCCCTACGCTGACAGATTGGGGCGAAATACTGGTGCCCCAAAGAGTATGGTGCCCTGACTCAGACTCTGTGGTAGGATTCCAGAGAAGCCCACCCAGGACCACCTCGAAGACCCAGACCCATGCAAGGCACCAGCAGGGAGCCACTGTGCCCCACAGGCTTCTCCCTTTGCATCCAGTAGACGTGGGTGAGTTTCTTGGATTTCTGGACCTCCTTGTTTTAAGGTAAGAGTCTGCCTTTTTTTTTTTTTTTAAATATATCTTTATTGATTTCAGAGAGACGAAAGGAGAGGGAGAGAGAGAGAGAGATAGAAACATCAACGATGAGAGAGTCATTGATCGAGCCTGCAATCCGGGCATGTGCCCTGACCGGGAATCGAACCCCCATCACAACCGCTGAGCCACGCCCGGCCGGGCTGCTTTTTTTAAATCCTCCAGGTGGAGCTAAAGGTTAAGGGTTGAGAGACCCTAGGCTAAAGATAAGAATTGAGATAACAAAGGACAGGAGGGAAAAAAGGATGGCTGCTTTTTAACTTTGGCTTTTCAATTGGAATCGCTTTCTGAGTATCTGAACAAAACCTTTTGCTGGATAGATGAGAGTCTAAACTCATTTGGCTCGAAAGATAAGGGGCAGCTTCTCTCTCCCTACTAGGCCTCTTAAACAACCAGGGCTCTTGGGACATAAAGGGCAGGGTAACAGGTCACTAGCCGAACAACTGGAGACCAGAGTAGTAGGATGAATTTTCCATCTGAGGTGATGGGAATATTAGGCACCCCTTGTATGGACAGACACAATAAGGGGAATTTTGGGTAAAGCTAGCTAAGTCTGGAGGCTGACAAATAGGGATGCCTCACTTGGGAGTGGCTTTGTGTAGAGTGGAATCCACTTGTCTGAGCGGAGTAAATCCATCGTTACAGTGCCCAGCCATCATTGTAACCGTTGTATGTACTCCACACCCTGGGTATTTCCCGGGTGATATGGAACCTGCCCTACTATGGTTCTCAGACCACAGGACAGCCCAGAGACTAGCAGGGATGGCTGTAACTCTCGGCTCAGAATTTATCTGTTTCTCCATCATGGGGAACCAGTCCATAGTACCTTGAGATAACCACTTTTGGGATGCATATTCACCAACTAGGAGAAATTGGGCCTGAGTCCTTCAAGCTTCTTTTGCAACTTAGCCTGGCCCCATTATAAAGTGAGAAATGGAGAGGTTTGGCCACTTAAGGGCACCATTAAGTTTAATACTATCCTGCAGTTAGACCTGTTTTTACTGTTCCCAAGGGAAGTGGATGGAGGATGAGGCCTCCTGAGATCGATGTGTCTTTTCCATGCAGCCAAACCTTTGTGGCTCTCAAAAATGAACCTCAGCTATGCACTACCGATAAACTAGAACTCTGTAATTGCTACAGAGCCTGAAAGAAAAATATAACTAAATGGAAAGAAACATTCCAAAAATGATTGAATGAATGAATTTGTCAGTCCTATGCCAACATTTGACAATCCTTGAGGTATTAAAAACCACCATCCTTGTTTTACAAATAAAGTCTTTACAGGGCCAGAGGTGTGGCTCCAGAACATCAAAGCCCACTGAATCCTTTTTACCTTCCCCAAACCTCGCCTATTCAGCTCAAAAGGCTTACAGATAAAGCTTCTAGGAGGAGCTTACATTTCTTTCCCTGTACCTTTGAGAAGCAAATACCTAGTCTTCTTCAAGAACTCTTATCTGAGCCCTAGACAGTTTGCTCACTGGTTAGAGCATCAGCCCATGGGCTGAAGGGTCCCTAGTTCTCTCATATGTCTCTACCTCCCTCCCTTCCACTCTCTCTGAAAAGCAGTGGAAAAAAGTATCCTGGGGGGGGATTATTAAAAAAAAAACAAAAAAAACCCCACAGAACTCTTATCTGAGCCATCTTTTAAAATGCAAGTTTCTGGGAGGTAATCTTCATTGAAAGAAAATAAATTAGCCATCTGAGCAGATCAGTTAACTTGTTTCAGCTGTTAAACACCAATCACTAGGCAACTCTTTTTTTAAATAATATTTTTATTATTTTTAACCCTTACCCGAGGATATTTTTTCCATTGCTTTTCAGAGAGCGTGGAAGGGTGAGAGAGAGACAGAAGCACCTATGTGAGAGAGACACATCGACTGGTTGCCCCAATAGGGGCCGGGGATCGAGCCTGCAACAGAGGTCCTTGCCCTTGGCAGGAATTGAACCCAGGACCCTTCAGTCCACGGGCCAACACTCTAGCCACTGAGCCAAACAGGCCAGGGCAGCAAGTCTTAAGTTCACCTACTTTTGGCCTTGTATTACAAAATAAGCTAGAAAACAGATTTGGATAGTTTCTTCAATAAGTGGTGCTGGGAAAATTGGACAGTTACATGCAAAAAAATAAATAAATAAACGAGACTGCCAACTTACACCATACACAAGAATAAACTCAAAAGGGATAAAACACTTAAATGTAAGTCACAAAACCATAAAAATCCTAGAAGAAAACATAGGCAGTAAAATCTCAGATATCTCACAGAGCAGTATTTTCACAGATACATAGCCTACGGCAAGGGAAACAAAGGAAAAAATTAACAAATGGGACTACATCAAACTAAAAAGCTTCTGCACAGCAAAAGAAACCACCAACAAAATGAAAAGAGAACCTACTGTATGGAAAAGCATATTCACCAATGATATATCTGATAATGGTTTAATTTCCAAAATATACAAAGAATTCATACAGCTCAACACCAGGAAGACAAAACAATACAGTTAAAAATAGGCAAAGTACCTGAATAGATACTTCTCCAAAGAGGACATACAGATAGCCAGTAGACACATGAAAAATGCTCAAAGTCACTAATCATCAGTGAGATGCAAGCTAAAACAAAAATGAGGCATCACCTCACACCTGCCAGAATGGCTGTCATCAACAAATCAACAAATGACAAGTGCTGGCATAGATGTGGAGAAAAGGGAACCCTAGTACACTGCTGGTGGGGATGTAGACTGATGCAGCCACCTCAAAATACCATCACATTGGGGATTAAGTTTCAACATATGAATCTGGGGGACAGGCTACATTTAGTCTATGGCAAGGATCTCTTGTGAGGAGAAATCAAGAGAAGGAAAAAGTCTAAGCTCGGTTCACAGATGAAATGGGGTGGTATGTGGATAAAAACCAAATAGTACTGCCACACTGTGACCCCAGTGGTGAGGGGAAATTCTCCTAGTGAAGAGATTCGGACAGTACATCTGGTCATCCACTTTGTGTGGAAAGATAAGGTGAGAATATACACAGTCATAAGAGCAGTGACAAATGTTCTGGTTAGTTGGTCAGGAGCTTGAAAATACAAAAAGTGGGAGATCAAGGACAAGAAGTTCTGAGGATGAGATGTCAATGGACCTATAGGAGTAGTCTTGAAGTGTGAAGATCCAAGTAGGCAGGATGAGTCAGCCACTATTTGTCATCAGCCACCTAGTTTTAAACAATGGATACACTAAATGGAGTAACTAGTGGTAGGAATAGAGGCATGGACCCAAAGCAAAGGTCCGACTCCCCCAGGCTCAACTAGCTACTGCTGCTGCCAATGTCCAACCTGCCATTAATAGAGACCAACACTAAGCCCTGGATATGGTGCTATTCCTTGAGAACAAGCAGCCACTTAGGGGCAAGTTGGAGACAGTAGATTCTATCACTTTTGACTGGCATTGACACATATTCTGAGTATAGGCATACCTCATTTTATTGCACTTCACTTTTTTGCACTTCACCAATGTTGCATTTTTTACAAATTGAAGGCAGGACCAGCAAAAAGGTTACAACTGGCTTTACTGCAATACTTGCTTTATTGCAGTGGTCTGGAACTGAACGCTGAGGTATATGCCTGTATAGGTTTGCCTTTCCTACCCATAGGGTATCAGCTAGTAAGTACCACTCCCCAAGGATTTACAGGGTACTTGACCCATCAGCATGAGATACACATTACATTACTTCAGACCAAGGGGATTTACATTATAGTAAAGGGGGTGTGGCAGTGGGCATGTGACCAAAGGGTCCACTGGCTTTATACTGCCCCATTCAGAGGCCACCAGTATAATAGAGCAGTTCAGTGGCCTCTTAAAGACACAGATGAGGCGCCAGCTTCAAGGTGAAACTCTAGGAGAATGGGGCACTACCCCCTAGAACATGATATATATCCTAAATCAACAACCATTGTATAATTCTGTGTCCCCAACAGGTAAAATATGTGGACCTGGAAATTAATCACATTAATCTAGATAGCAATCAAGTAGCCTCCACTTATTTTCACTACCAGTGAACCATATGGGAAATTTCATTTTGCGGTCTAGATGTCCTGAAAACCAAAGATGTAATGCTTCCTCCTGGGATCGAAGAAAGAATCCCTTTTGAACTTTGGGGTCTTCAAAAGAACCTCTTTTGAACTTTGGTAGCAAGAGGCAAGCGGACAAGAAAAGGAGTCATCACACTGTCAGGAATGATTGACTGTGACAGAAAAGGGAGGACTACAGCTACACATGGGAGGCAGGAAGAGTATTTTGGCATTCAGGTCATCCACTCATGATACGCCCATGCTGTTTTTCATTTGTTTGTTTTTTAATCCTCACCCAAGGATATTTTTTTCTTTGCTCTTTAGAGAGAGTGGAGCCCGGCCAGGCGTGACTCAGGGGTTGAGCGTCAACCTAGGATCCAGGCGATTGGGGTTCAATTCTTGGTCAGGGCACATGCCCGGGTTGCAGGCTCGATCCCCAGTGGGCCGATCAATGACTCTCTCA